TATCAAAAATAAGTTGCGATAGAGTTATTTACGTGCAAATATAAAACTTTGAAAGTTAGATATTTGAGCTCATTGAAATAGTTTTTTCTAACAGATGTGTGTAAAGCTTGAGCGAAGCATCAAGACAGCTTCCATTATGAACTTAAACATGGAGTTCGATAATTGAAACTCAAGATTTGGACTCAGAAACTGTTGAATATGCCGTCAAAGTGACTACATTTGCCTGGATGAGGAAATCGTTTACAAGACAGCCGGTTGTTACGAAAAACAAAACCCGATTTTAGCTAATAAATCTCTAAAACTTTCTCCAGAGGCAGAGATCTTCGCAAAATGCTAGTTCACACCCACTAGCGAGTTCGGCGCCTTAGATCGCCTCGAAGAAGAATTAGTGATAAGTTCTCACAAATTTTGGTAAATACTCGCCGTGTTATGTAACTTCAAAGACGTAAAGTTTCTCTGCCTTTAGTAAAATTTCTTGAAAAATCGTCAAAACTTGAACTTAGTATACTCAGGAATCAAAATTTTTTCAAGTACTTTTTTCTTGTATATCACTCAATTTCAATTGAATTTCGAATTATTTCAAATCTGTAGAATTGATCACATTTGGTATTGTTGGGCTTTCAGAGAGAACTTTTGATGTCCAAGGTAGAAATTCTGGTCATCGTTTTGAGAAAGACATTTTGCAACTTTTGATTTAAGCCAAATTTATCCATTTTCTTGTCTTATCAATATGCACGCTCTACTGTTTCTTTTTTCGCTTTTTGTTAGGTCTTTCTACTCTCGTAATATTATAAACTGAACAGATTTTGGATATTGAGTGATTTTTTTAAATGTCTATTTCTTTGTCTACAAGCAGTAAGATAAAGTGATATCACAGTGAAGTACCTTTGAATCATATCCGTTTTTTTTTTGTAATTCTTTTTTTCTGAGCTGGATAGAAAAAGCATGATTGCAACAAATGTCAACAACTGAAAATCGCTTTCATCTTTCGGGTTTTTTTCAGTCAGTATTGAATTCAGATTAGCGATGCTGCATTCTTTCAACCTTTGAGGCTCGCGAGAGTCTTTCTTCGCATTTTACAAGCTGAAAAAATGCGCCTCTTTTTTTATTAAAAATCCTCTTTTCTCTGACAACGAAATTCCTCTTTTTTCCTCTTTTTCGACGAGCTATCGGTGGGATGCCAGGTAGTAGTTAATTATATAAAATCCCAATGGTAATTTCAATAATTTGTTAATGAGTCGGATTTATTAAATGGCAAAATATATACAAAAAGTTGAACAAAAGAACGTTTTGCAATTAAAGCTGTTTTATTAATAAGTTTATTCTATTGCTAAAACAGAAAAACAAAAGATAATCAGTTTTAATTTTTTATAAGAATAAAAATCTTTCTTACTCGATGTTCGATAATAACATGAACTTCTCCATGTGAACTAAGACCTAAATGAGTTGGTAATTTGACCCATTCATCATAACGACCTTTACCAAAAACATGTTTTTTTAAATTAATCGTTGCTGAACCAATTGAATCTCGTCCAGCTACATCTTCATCATAAACATGTATATGTAATTCATCTTGATGTTTGTGCAAATTACTAAATAATATAATATAAGCAATATATTAAAAATCATATATTAAGCTTACAAAGTCAATGTTTCATTCCATGTTGGATTATTTGTATCTTTAATTGTTTTTGTTCGTTGTTTATAATCTTTATCCAAATAAAGTTCAACATAAGCATCATCTTTACCAACAATATCTTTGTCTTTTAATTTACGAGCTTCAACAATTGTTACGTATAAAACTCCCTCTATATGGCTCATTGTTCCTTTTTTTGAAAATTGAAACTTAATAATTAGGTATATATCGTTAACAAATTCAGTAGCAAGGAATTCTGCAATAGATTTTATAAATAAACCAAAGAAAAAAAAGAGAAAAAAATATGCACATCCAATGAGATGTTTTATTTTTCCTCTCAAAAAATGATGAAGGTTGTTTGGAAAAAGAAAGAAGTCTTAGTGAAAAGTAGTCATGACTCCTTTTAGTAAGAGGTGATAAAATAGACGAATGAATGTTCCTTTAGTTTCTTCCTTATTTTGCGTATGTTAATATTTCTATCGCTGCTACGCAGACAAAGTCTAGTAAGAAAAAAAAGAAAATGGTAAGAAAAAAAGTATCATAGTCAATGTAAAAGTACTCTATCAACTTTATAAAAAAAAATGCAATGCCTCTTCAAAATAAACAATTGCTCAATTGAAATCGATTCAATAAATAACTTTGAATATTAATGCTATTAACAAAAAAAAAAGAAACTTTATCATGTACCTTACAGTTGAAAGAGTTGATGTCATCAAAAAAATTCAATTTGATTAGAATTGAATTACGAAAATCGATTGAAAAGAAAACCCGAGCTAAAAAGTGCAAATGATTGAGTTTTGCGTTTTAAAATAGATTATCAGAAAACTATCGTGACAAGTATTCACTTAAATAATAATCAAAACAATTAAACTTTAAAATAATCTGGTTTATTATCTTGAATAATAGATGAACAAATTTATGTTCAAATTGCGAATTTTGCTTAATAATGGCCTGAAAATATCAATGACAGAATTAAATCTTTTGTACAATTATGAAAATATCAGCTAATAACAATACATTAGCAAGAATATATATCAAATGATTAATTGAAGAAAAAAAATATTCGTATATCGAGAATGATTTTTTAAGGAAATATAATCTCTTTGATGTATTACTTTAGGTTAAACAATATTTGAAAATGTCAACAAGATTTTTTAATTATGTGACTATTAGTTGAAGGTTGTACTTGTTCTTTATTATGTAAATAATTGTTGATATTTGTAAATTTATAATATACATAATGGTATCAGGAATCAATCGAATAAAAATTTGACTATAACACAATCTGAAATGTAAAACTTATGACATAAATTGTATTCATAGGAAAATCATAATTCATGAATCTAAATGAATCAATAGATAATATATCATGTTCCGTACTCTTATTTACCAAGAAAGCCTTCAAATTAAATGTTTAGTTTTTTTCTTTGTCCTTCAGAAAAATAGTAACGATTCACTTTTTAGTTAAAACTGGCATATGTAGAATGAAATTATTCATTCAGCATATTTAGTTACTGATCGTTACACGAAGAAGCACATCTCATTTAAGTATTAAATCTCACGCAAATGTACAACTTGTTCGCATTGATACGCTAGAATGAAATTTTTAAGTTTTCTTTCATTTTTTAGTTATTTTAATTTACAATTGTACAAGTATCCTGATCTCTTGTATATTTCTTTTTGAGTATAACCTTGAATTGAAACCATCGAGATGACAGTGTGTATTGCAATGATCAAAATCTCTTTTTGAATAAATATTTAAACATATAGTGTATAGCAAAATACTCAAATGTAATTTGATTCAATGTTAAGAAGAAAATTTTTTCATTCATATTTATTCGATCATGTATCATATTGCGTTTATTTCTAAGAAAGCTGTTTCTATCAATCAATACAAGTAGTCAATTACTAGTTTAGAAAAGAAATATTGTCGATGAAAACAATTGGAAAAATGAAAGCTGTAAAAAACAACGCCCAACGTGGGGCTCGAACCCACGACATTGAGATTAAGAGTCTCACGCTCTACCGACTGAGCTAGCCGGGCATATGCCACTACTTATTACATAACTGACCACAACAGTGACCTTCATTTACTCCTAAATTTTCTCCTATTAAACCGATTCACAACAATATTCAATTTTAAGTATCTTCATTTCAATTTTTGCCAAATGCATGATACATATTATTCTAAGAAGCCAACTAACTAGAAAAGAATTTTCTGATAAAATATAATGATTTCATTTTAAAGAATCTGCTCATTGAAAAATGAATAGATATTCGATCAAATATCATTCGTCACACCTGTAATTAGTAATGAACACATAGAAAATGAAACATATAATAAAATTTTTTAGATTCATTTGTGTTTACCTAGTAATTAAATACTACTGTATAATGAAAATACATGTCAAAATAATAAAAATTATTCTATTCATATTGACAAGAAAAATTGTCAAATCCAAAAGTGATCCATACATTTTTAGAAATGCATATATAATATTTATTAGAACTCTATGGAAATAATTTTTGAACATTCAATTATACAAAAATGTAGTAAAAATCAAATGTCCACTGTTATAAAATCATATGATGTGTTCAAATCTGTTTTAATTAATAAACTTATGATGAATTCTACTCTAATTTGTTACATAAGTTTGCAAGCCCGGCTAGCTCAGTCGGTAGAGCGTGAGACTCTTAATCTCAATGTCGTGGGTTCGAGCCCCACGTTGGGCGGATATTTTTTTTTTCTGTTCTCTTCTACTCTCTGTCTGCTTTACACATCTAGTTTTCATGCAATTATATCCATGTTAAGAAGATTTTTTTTACTTTCAAAAATACGATGATTCACTAAGGAATATTTTCAACGACTAAAATAGAACAATAATACAAAATTAAAAAAAAATTATCAGTTGAAACAACGTTTTACGAATATATCATTTTAAATTTATATCAATAAAAAAAAAAGCAGAGAAATGAACTGCAATTTCGTTTGTTGTGATTTTCATTTATGTTGGATAACCTTCTGTATATAAGATGTGTTAAGGGAAAAACGTCAAAAGAGTTTATGCGACGTTAAAAATCTCTTTAATTAGTTAGACCAATGCACTTTCTTCTTTTTTTTATTTTTAGCCATTCTCGACCGTGCCTGTCATTTCCTCAAGTGACATAAAGATAATGCGAGCAATTGCAACTAATTTAATCTTCTTTTCACTATTTATTTCATTTCAGACGTTAATGAGTTAGATAAAGATGGAAAACACGAACGCAACTTTGTCATATACCTTACAGACAATAATAATATAGAAATATATACACTGAACATATTTTCTATTATTTTTTCATTTGACGTTTTTATTTAATAAATATGAATAATAGAAGTCATAACTATTCATTATTGCTATTTGGTGATAATAATGAACATGATTCTGCTCATTTTTCTTGGTATGTGCCTTTAACAATAGGAATCAGTTCATTGATTGGAACAACATTTAGTATTCTTAGTTTAATACGTTTTTTCCGTCAGAGAAATTTCAATACTCATTTTAATTATATTTATCATCATATGTTATTTTTTTGCTTATTTAATTCTGTTATTTATGCACCTGGGCTTTATGTTGGTATTCATCTTTCTTGGTTTATTGTTTCACGAGTTTTTTGTATTTTATTTTTGATTCATAATTATGTCATTTTTGGTGGACTTGCTTATCTTTTAATGTGGGCAAGTTTAGAACGACATCGATTTCTTTTTCAAATAAATACACCAATATCATTGTCTCGACAAATGATTCCACTGATTATTGTCATTATATTTGTTTATACATGTTCAATTTTAATTGTTCTTTTATCCAAATGTTCCAAATATGGAAAATTTGAAGTGTGTTTTATTGAAAACGTTTCCGATATAATTATATTTACATTGTATACATTTGTCATACCTATGGTAATTATGATTTTTGCTACAACTATTTTATTACGAAGATTATATGAATATCGAACACGAATAAATAAACGCCGACGATGGATAAGATTAAAAAAAATGTTTTATCAATCACTTATTTATCTTGGATGGTATTGTGTATCATATTGGCCACATACAATTTATTCGATACTTATTGTTTATGATTCAAATCGATTTGATTCAGTAATATTGAGAAATACTTTGCATCTAGTAAGTATATGTGGTATTCAAGCGTTGCCTATATTAACTTATTTTACATTTAAACCAAATAAGAAACAACTACAAGTAAAATATGTTATTAGTAATAAAATTGAAATTAATACGAATATGCCACAAAAACCAACAAGTGAATGTTTAAAAAATAAGAAAGAACTACCAATTATTGAAAAATTTTAGCTATGTTTTTCTTTTATTAAACAAAATATTATTTAAAATAAATTTCTCTATAATAATTGACTTGAATAGTTTTTGTTTTTTATCGAAGAATCACATATTAAATTTCAATAACTTTATCACAAAATACAATATAAAATTTGAAACACTTATAAGTTTCTGCACTTCAACATGACAAAAGATAAACTATGGTAAGCTCAAAGATGCTGAAGTCATTAATTATCTTTTCAATATTAATAAGAAAAGAAATACAATAATAAAGAAAAATTAAACATGTTGAAACGTAAAAAGTGCTCAAATCTATCTTTCATTATGTCTAATACTGATGAATATGATCAAGATCATAGTTGATAATTATATTTAAAAACTGATTATTTTTGATTGATACATTGTATTAGTTTTCATTGCTCCTTTTGATTGTATCAATATGGGCGTCTACTCATGCTTCGCAGTGTTTTCATTTTTGATTATGGTTTTGCTTCCTTGATTTTTGTTCCTCATTAACTTTTACTGAATGAATTTATCATACAGAATCAGAAGCGAAATATTAAAGGTTATTCTTGATATTTCACTAATGACTTCTATTTATCAAGATAACACTTTACATTATGCAAACAATATGATTCATATAAACAATCGGATTAATAAACTTACATAAGTAATATACATAAAATGTTCAAAAAGTTGTTACACTCTTTTTATTTTAAAGATATATCTGAAACTGTCACAAGAATATTGGAGTTTTGACAGATATGATTAAGTTTCATTAGTATATATATATATGGATGTGATTAACTTCTAAGACCAAGAATCTTATTCACGAATCAATCAAAATTTTTTATTTCTTTTGATAAATTATTCAATAAGCTACTAGAAAATGAAAAGACAATACGGCAATATTTATTCCTTTTTCTATCGTGACAATATTCTTGAAGCTTTGCGAAAGTCTGAATAAAACATTGACTATATTTACTAATAAGACATCAAAATGTAGTTGTCACGATACGAGACCGAGTCAATATGAATAGCTTGATATTGCATGATTATCAGAATAAAAACAAAAACTATTCTTCCTGTCATTGTATATTCGTGTATCATTTGACATCTCATCTTCTTTATATATGATCATTGAGACATTGGAATGTCTTCATTGTATCAACTGGGATACTTCACTAATTGTGATAATACATTTAGATACATGAATAATGTTCACATATTAAAATAAAAGTAGTCCAAAAAGTATTCGGACATGTATTAGCTCCATTTGTGTATTTTTTCTTTTATGTGATAAAAGTGCAAATATTAAAAATTCTCTTTAAACGAGGAACACATATGTTTTCTCTGGAGCATTGAATAGCTTTCAATTTGTTCTTTATTACATATGAAAATCATGGTTTGAATATTTCATGAAGAAGGAAATATTAATTTGTTATCATTGTTGTACAAATCTGCTAATAAAATAAAAATACAGTTAGATCTTTGGCTACTTTTATGGCTACTTGTAAGTGCATATTTGTGCCACTCACAGCAGTACAAAGTAAAATTTTATTATGTTGATGAAGAAAACAGAGTGTATGATTAACACACCGGATTCTTAGGCGGCTCTCCAAGGCCAAAGCATTGCCGAATTCGTCGGTATGTGGCTACTCGAGTCATCTGATTACCAGCCCCTGGTCCTCCATTGCATTCCAATTGTCCGTTAATGATTCGAGTGGTGGCTGCAAAGTCACCTTGCTTAGCTGGTCCAGCCATATTATTTGAATTATAGAACCAAACAGCAGTTTTTACAGCTAAATCTTGTTGTTGTTCAACCAAATCTGGATTATTCAGCAGATCTATACCTAAAGCCCGTCCAGCTGCATGGTAGTTGCATGGCCAAGATAGTTGAAACCAACCTCGACCATAGTACAATTTGCCCGGCACACCTTGAATACTACACCATGATCCAGCATAATGAGAACCACAACCTAATTGACATTCAATTCTCATTAGAATGCCAAAAGTTCTATTTTTAAAATATTTGAATATCTTATAAATCAATATTTTTACTTAACACTTATATGTAAGCATTGTGTTTTAACTTGATCGAGTTTTCTTTCAAATTAAATCTTTTCTTTTAATTCATAGAGATTTTTAAAAAAAAAGGTTGATCTTTTCCTAAACTTTAAACTGGTTTTAAAGGAAGGTATGCGATTTGTGTATGGCAATAGAATATCTCTTCACTAACATTGTCGACCACTCTCAAAACCAGTTTTTTTTCAGAGTGAATTCTTTTCTATAATGCTGAAAATTTTCATTATAGTATTCATAAGATTCCGATCAAATTATATACAAGTTAAGAAAATTCTTCAATTTCACTAAGCTTCTAACTTATCAAATGCAAATGTTTTAAACGATCAAATAAACTACAAGATATGTCCCTATTTCTGATAGATCTGTCAAAGAAATACAATAAAAAATGATGAGATAAATGTGTTCGTAGCATTACAGCAACTAAGCAGAAATGTATAAATTCGTTTTGTTTTAATAAATACTTACCTGGAGCACAATATTCTCTGATTGTTTTGAGACCATCAGTTTCGTGAAAAACATGAGCAAGAAAAACAGCCGCTTCTTCCTTGTTCGCTGGTTTCCAACCTGAATTTCTAAGACCATTGAGTCGACTGAGTCTCGTTCCAGCGTCTATTGTGTTGAATGCACAGGCAAAATTTTGTTCTGTAATGATGGAACCATCACCACCACTGCTGCCACTGTTTTCATTTCCACCGCCAGTACTACCCCAACAAGGACCCGCTGTACAGCCACTACCGCAAAATTCTCCTCCCGTTCCACAATAACCCCACTGAGATTTACACATATACGTTTCAGGACATCCACTTTGAGTAGTAGTACTACTCCAACAGGGTCCACCTGTACAACCATCACCGCAATATTCAGCTCCTGTTCCACAATAACCCCATTTTGACATACACAAAGACGAACTAGAACAAGCGACACGTGGCTGGATATTAATTAATGTGCCTGGTACTTGTTTATCCGAATCGCCTTGAATTATATTGATCAAGCCGGTAGCAATGCAAGAAAGAAACAAATATGTATGCATATACTGTATTGTCGCCATCGATCGAATGTAGAACAGATAAAAACTACTAATAAAATGAATATGGAATGGATGTGATGCAGTAAATATATGCCTTTATAGCATTTGCATACAGATGTTTTTTTTTCCCATTTTATCGTTGCTTGCTTGTCGCCTATCTACACATTCACAAAAACTAAAAAACAATCTCAAAAGAATGTACTTTGAATTGAGAAATTGTCAGTGTGATAAGTAGCATGCATATAAACGAACAGTTCATATTTCAGCTTCTGTGGTTGGATTGTATATCATCATCTGTATAGTTGTTTGTGTATTTCTTCGTGTCTGCTCTTCCATACATCCACGTCATTATACCTTTTTCTCTTTCTTGGTTGATTATTTTTCATTCATTCATCCTATGCAATCGCTATGCATTCGGACTCAATTAAAGAGAGATATTATTATTAGAGAGAGTTCGATCGTAGAGTATTAAAAAATGAGAAAAAAATTGATTGACATTGTTATTTTGAGAATTATCGTCAAAAAATAAATAAATAATTTGATTATGTTGAAAAAAAGCAAAAATCTACTGCATTAGTTTCATGATTTTCCCATTGCTCTCAATGTATGACTTTTATTGCTTAACAAAAAAACAAAACTATTAAATTATTTTCATTATACTTGTAAACTTGGATTACCAAGTTGTTATTGATTTTTATATAAGTATAAGATGATTGTCGATAAGGGCACTTTTCTTCCTAAACATTTAAAAAAAAAAGTCGCTCTTGGTGTTTAATCAATCATGGATTAGAACATAGACATATTTACTCATCTTAGTTCGACATTAGGATCTATCGCACCTTTATCTCATAGACGTGATTGAAAAAATCTGCTCGTCGTTATAAGTCAAACATATGCAAAATATGTAGTTGACGACACTTATTACGAATATTATCTCTATTTTGTCTAAATTATTTCAGTGAATGAAGAGAGTAGAGTTTCCAGAAACTAGACTGTAGTTGAATAAATGCACTTTACTTTCTTTTTTTTTGTATGGCTACCATCCTTATTAAATATTCTACACATCGAAAAATAAATTTCAAACGGGTTTTCAGACACCTGTCTGGATTTCGTGAGTTCTGAACTCATAAAACTTTCCAAAAGTGTAAACTCACTCACGAACCTCAAGGAAGTCTCAGAAACCAAGCAACTTCAACAATTGAAGCAACCCAAAGGTTTCAAACTGCATTTACATCATCATAATTTGCTTGCCCACAAACCTGAAACAACTACATTCGTATGCTATATCTAAAAATTCGGAATCTTAGAAATGTCACTAAAGATGACAAATATACGGTACACTTTTTTCTGTAGATATTCAAATATGGACGTAGTTGTCGGTGTCGAGAGAACTGAAACTGAAACGAACATCGCCACTTTTCTCTATAAATATGGCATCATGGTTGAGTGGTTATGTTCGTCGACACGTATCTAGAAGATGCTGTTTTCCAAACTTAATACTACTTTTTGTGAAATGACCCTAGATAAATCATTAACGGCTATTTGTCTCGGATCATCTGTACGATAACATGCAAACTATGCGTGACATATACATACACTTATGGCTTGTATTTGGTTAGTTAGTGTGTATGGGAAGCCCAAACCATTGAACGAGAAAGAACTTTGCGCCAGACTAGCCTTCTGTCCAGATTTACACAGCTTACATTAGTTGTAGAAAATACATTGAACTATTGAGTTTGCAGCTAGGTTATTCCTCCTACCAAAAAGTGGCTGAAAGATACGAGTATTCTTCCTACCTTCTGTCCTTTCTTCCTTTATGAAAATAAATTTTTATTGTTTTTTATTAGGTGAATGATGATGATATCTAATTGTCATCACTTGAAATGCATAATCAAAATGAAATAAAAACAGAAATTCATTTATAATTGCTCTTTTGTTTTGATTTTTATGAACTATTGAAACATTTATTGTTTGTTGTCTGATTTTGTGGTTGATATGATGCACACTTAATCATCACGACACTTTTTAGTAAAGACAATTCGATTATTATCTAATCAATCTTTTATTCATTTGCAAATGAAAGTTTCTAGACTTGATAAAAAAAACTAAGATTATTATTGACTACAAGTAATGCACTATCTCGATGTAGAATAAACATAAGGACATCGTTTTTTATTGAAATATTTCTATTAGTGATTGATATGAACAAGATATTTAAAGAAAAGCAAGAAACACCATATTGATAAACTATTAGGCTGTAAAGCATAAAGTTACTTTTTAAACAAACAAAATTTTATATGGAAAAAGTTGTCTATAATATTTGTGAACTTTATTTTTATCAATACTGCATCTATTAGCATTTCATGAATGCCCTGTTATACACAATCAGTTAAAATTCATGTTTACGAAGAATAAAGATCGCTATTGAAGCTCATGCTACTACAACAAGTCATATGATTATCCCTGAGTCAGATATAGAGTATTGTTATTGGCGACTAGTGATCAAAAAATGACACTAAGTTAATAAATAAGACATTTTAAGAAACTTTTTTTGATTTCAGGTCGTCTAAAGAGCAAATAATATTCACATAGACATCCTACTCAGGATAAATTTCTTGATCAGTGTAAGAATAAAAATTTTAAAAACATTTTTCTCAAAACGGTCCAGACTACTGTAGAAATCCCATAAGGATACAGAAGAATGTGAGTAAAAGGAAGACTCACATCCATCCATACCCCACGGCAGATTATCGAATTCTTCATGTGACGATTTGTCCTGCAACGACACCAATTCACCGATCACCAATGGTCATAATTCGTTTCGAACAATATAATTCGTGAAAAGCTGGCCCAATGGAATTCTTTACGCCATTGTGATGATGCAATGCGTTGTGGTAGGTGTGTGTGGACACCATTTAAGGAGAATCTCTCTCGTTCTTACGCAAATACTGTGAGCTACATAACTCACCATTTTTTTTCGTCTACTACAAGTTCTCTTTTTCGGCAAACAACAACATATGGCGTCATCCACAATACGAACATGTGCAATTGCCACATGTAAACGTTCGTCTTTTGCACTATGTCATTGCTGTCAAGAACATTTATGTATCAATCATTTGGAAGAACATTCAGATCTACTCAATTCAAGATTATTACCGCTCGCAGACGAAATTAATAGTTTATTGCAACGAATCAAAAGTGAATCTTTGAACGAATCAGCTTGTCTCAAAGATCTTGAAAAATGGCGTCAGGAAGCACATCAAGCGATTGATCGATTCTACGAGACTAAACGCAAACAGTTTATGAATAAGATAGGCGAAGATAAAAGAATAGAACTCGATCGATTGAGAATGAAAATTGAAGAATTAATACACGAGCAAGACGCAAATCAAGATCAACTTAATTTGATCACAGAGGAAATTTGTTCAATTAAACGAGCTATTGATGAATTTCAAAACCTTGATCTCACTATTCATCCTTTCACGATCGATGATAATCCCATGGAGTAAAATATTGAAGGAAACGGACCGCGTAACGCGTTTTCGAGATTGTAGCATGCGTTTCGCAACGTTTTTTCAATACAGGACGCGTTTCGCAGCATTCTCACTTACATAAAATGCGTTTTGACACCGTCGTTTTTAGAAACGATCCGAAACGCTTTTTTCAAGATTGCGTTTCGAGGCGTCTCCGAATTCAAATGTTGTCGAACGCAGTTTGGTCGACAGGCGACGCGTTTCACAGGTGCAAATTGAGGGAAAGGTGGGACGCGTTCCTTTTTCAAATGTACGTTGGATTGTTTTTGCTTGGAATGATGCAAAATATATCCGTTCTGCATACAGAATCTTGCAGAAATTCACCAACACAAAGCATATGAGTTAACCAAAGTAAATTCTTTAAAATTACTTTGGAAATGATATGAAATAGCACTTAAAGTTTTGCTCCTTGCACATGTTTTTACGTGAAAATCATGACCAAGGATTTTATGAAGGTAAGAGTAAAATCAAAGTCTTCTAAATTTTGAGACTGCTAGGCTGTTATCTAGACTTATTTCGAAGTTAGACTAATGTAAAACATCAAAGTGTAACAAAAATATATTCTGCTTACTTAAAAACTCATTTCACCACGTTTTTATTGAAAGAAAACATGTTTCGTAAGGTTTACTTAAGAATCGTTTTAAATATTGAGCATTTTGAAAAGATTTAGTACAGATTGATACTAATATAATTAGTATGGCAACTCTCTTTGATTATTTGTGAACAAAATAATTATCACGTTATCTATAATTTGAATAATTATTAGTATGAGTTCATACTCGAACGAATTGATAATGAATAATGATACTGTGTACAATACTAGTAAACATGATTTTAGTTTGTACATTGTTGAAGTAAGAGTGACTTTTTAATAAAAGAGATTCGACTTACAAAAGAAAACTCCCTTCATTTATTGATGTAATTGGAGAAAACGATGGCAGATTCACATTTACAAAAATTTATTAAATCAAGAAAATAAATAAAAGATTAAATTTTAAATTTTTTAAAATTTATATATAAGAAATTTAATTTTTTAAATATTAAATATAATTTAAATCGATTAAATTCGGTTCTATTGAATATCTAAATTTAAATCTGAAAGAGTTTAAATAAAAAATGTATCAAGAAAAGACCACATTAATTGGACATGGGCACCAAAGAAATAATAATTTTCAGTTCAGTAGAATGGAAACTGAAAGTCTGATTTAGTAAGTTTACGCGAGACTCTAAATGACAGTAGAATAAACATTTATATCATCAGATTATTTTAGTTGAACGGTTTGTATATATGTCTTATACTCCTATGTTCTCGTGTTCGAATCCATGTCTTGACTGCATCAAAATTCATGTAAGTTATAGTTCTGAAGGTCTATGAAAAAATGTAAACGAGTATATAAATTGTACCTGCAATTCAAGATCTATGAAGTCATTGACGGTTTTCAGTTTTTTTTCCATCTATAATGTATGATACCACAGTTTGAGAAACGCTGCAAAATCTTTCACAAAAACAATCGTTACACAGCGTTTGTTTTAGCAGATGTGAAACGCGTCAAACCGGTCAGCATTAACGCGTTTTGCATCTATGGAAAAATGCGTTTTCAGAACGCGTTTTTTTCGCAGAAATTTACACCATGGGATCTTATTGTACTTAAATTGCATGTATTTCTTCCTCTTAGAACTCCATCTCGAACAATGTCTTATACAGCTAAGAGTTCTGCAATGGCCAGCAATGGAAAACATGTATTAATAGAAAATGAGTCGAATCTGTGTTTACTCAACGATCGATTGGCATTTACCAAAAAGACACCATGGACGTTTAGTAATATATGGGGAATGTGTTGGTCATCAACACTCGCTCGATTCATCGTCGTTACCAATAAAATTTTGTTTGTTCTCGATGAAAAAACAATGACACTCACACGATGTGAAATTTCTTCGGATAAGAATTGGTATCGGGGAACATGTTCTAATACAACACTATACTTATCAACCTGGCAATCAGAAGAAGGATCAAATATAATTGAATACTCTCTTCCATCTATTAAATACGTGAAACAATGGCAACCACCGTTAACATGTCACAAAGACGAATGGATTGAAGATTTTGAGTTTAAAAATGATTCAATGGCGATGATCATCGTTCATGATAAAAATAAGTCTTGGCGTTTCGAACTTCGTTCATCAGTGACACTTCAATGTCTCTGGTTGCTAGAGCTCGATGGAGGATTTCGCTGTCGTTCGATTAATAGTGATCAATGGATTTTAATCAAGGATAAACAATCAGAGATATTGCATATATCGAACGATGGATGCATTATAGAACAACAACGATACGATTCACAAATAAAAAATGTTGCTATCTTAGATGCTAATATACTCATGATTAAGACTACTGATCGTATTAATTTACATGAAATCTAAAAACTTAAAATTAACTATCTCTTTTTACTCAATCTATCAATAATGTAAAATTTGATTCAATTAGATGTGTATCGTTTCATCTATTTAGCTACACAATCAGAATAATAGAACTACATGGTATACCTGTGGATGTGAACATAGGTGAAGATGGGTAACCTACATTCTTATCCACGTACTCTACACCCACATCAACATCGATATGCTTTTTGTAGAGTATAGCAAGATGCATCTGTTTTTGTGGTGTAGACTTAGAAAGAAATGTTCGAAATAAAAAATAACAACAGGATACAATGCATTGCCTATAAGAGCAAAAAAAGAAATATGGATAATCAACCAACAAAATGGTTCCAGGAGTTTCTTCTAGCAAATCAAACTCAAAAAAAACACCGATACATCGAAGATCATATCTGCTTTTTCCTTATATATGTATAAGTGATAATTGTAAGAGACAACCAAGTATCCGATCTTATCTACTAAGAGCGTTACAAGATTATTACACATAATATTTCTAGTAGCATTCAGTTAAATGAAAAATTTACCATATTTTGACTTTTTTCTTTCTCATCCATCTATCACATCAAAACAACCATCATTTATCATGTGCAATAGACCATGCAGGCCAATGACATTTGAGTCTTGAAAATCTTTGCAACCATTGACTAGACATATTCGGATCAAATGAAAGCTTTCACCACCAAACTAACAAGGTTAAAATATTAGCGGATGTTGGCTTGCCTACAGGGAGATATTCGAATTTTAAGGTATTTATAGTATATGTAAGATACCCACAATTGAACATTTCGACCGAATTAATGTTTCTTTTTTTTGTAATGGTAGGATAGAGCTTGTCGAGTTACATTAGAAAAACTGTGTCTCAAATTTTAAAAATGAACTTGAAAAAATTTTTTTACGAAAGTCACAATTTCATGTCTATTTCCCCCAACATTTCAAAATAATCGTAACTTGGATGGATATTTTTCTAAAATTTTTTAGATATCTTTTTAAAATTTGAAACACAGTTTTTCTAATACAACTCAACGAGCTTTATCCAACCATTACAATAAAAGAAACATTAATTCGGTCGAAATGTTCAATAGTGGGTATCTTACATATACTGTAAATACCTTAAAATTCGAATATCTCCCTGTAGGCAAGTCAACAGCCGCTAATATTTTAACCTTGTTAGTTTGGCGGTGAGAGCTTTCATTTGACCTGAATATGTCTAGTTAATTCAACTGACAACACAAACACCTCCATTGTAAGATATAAATGCCTATTGTTGATCTGTCGTTGAATAAAGATTCGATTCATAATGAAAACCCAAAGTTAATCAATTGTTTTTAGCTTACTAATGTTTCGAGATATAGAATAGGGAAAATATGTACAGTTATTTACTTCACCATCTTTGTTCTAATGATTCTTGAGTACTAAGTTAGTAGAATACTTAAAAAGTCTGTGTAATTGTGTTCTACACAAGTAAACATTTTGCGTAATCACATTTCAAACAAGCTGATGTTCAACTTGCCTACTGAACTACGTATACTAGTAATTAGCAATGGCTCTAAACTTGAATTACTAGCACTAATACATTGATCCGAAGAAAGCTTGCCTATAAAATCAATGTATTTAAACAGAGAGAAGAAAACTAAATGTGTAGTTTGCCAATGATCTTTTTCTTGTCAGAAGCGCTATAAAATTGAATATTTGTTTAGTTTTAGTATTTGCTTTCTTATCAATATATTCAATATTATAACTACTACAGACAACACAATATTATTGTTCGATTAATACAATTTCTTAACGAACCCATTTCAAAATCTAGCTTTTCTTTCTTTGTAATAGATTAAAAATATAAATATAACTGCATCTGATATTGAAATATCAAAGTTTCATTTTGAAAATTTGTTCATTTATTTAACATTCATTAGATTAAAAAAATGATTGGAAACTTGAACGATTGAAAATATTAACAAGGCAAGAAAAATATATTGTTTTCATGAAAGATTCTTATATTTTCTCAATGTATTTTCCTGGCGTCAATTTTATTCAGTTCATTTTTTACTGTAAGATTAATTCATTCGATAACAATGCCATCAGAAACTGATATGTTAACTACTAACATTTTTAAACAAACATATTTAATAAATGTCTTACTATACGATTTAGCTAAAAGATTCTGGCTTATTGTATACTTGTTAAAAAATTTCCAATCATTTTCGTATTCTATATTTCTAATGCATCGACTTTTTTTTGTTTTCCTAATGCATAGCTATACTCATATTTCAAGCAGGTACACAACGGAGTATATAACAGAAAAACATTTCTATTTTGTAAAAATGCTTGAAAATGTCTTATATCAATCTATTCATGATTGTAAACTGATTAATCAGTGAAAATTTAATCAAAATTTTATTTGAATTTCCACAAAATACAATGCATTATTTTTTCTTTCAATATGAACAAGAATAAATTGAATTGAACAGAAAACAAAGAAAATGTTTTTATGGTGAGGAAAATGTCATCATTGATTCATCATCAAAATCATGTTCACGATCGACTAAAATTCTTGAATTTGAATTATCTGTCTGTCCCATTAATAATCTAACATTGACTGATTTTTGTAGAACTTCTTCGGCAAAAAATTGAGCCATATAAATACGCATTGGATCAATACCAAGAAGACTAACAAATAAACTGATGATCTATTCTTTCGAAAAAATAAAAATAGAAATTTTTTTTTTCAAATATGAAAATAAATAAAACCTTATCATGAATTTGTGAATTCATTCCATGACAAAACATTTTTGATGCTGCAAGAATTGTAGCTGAACCAAGTAATAATGGATCACGTAATCGTTGAGTAACACTTTCCCTAATATAACAAAAAAAAAATAGATTATTATCAAAATAAAATAATCAAATCTATTTAATACATTTGTATTTTAGTCACTGTTGATGATCCACTTTCTTTTTTTGCTAAAATTTCAATAAGTGATGTCCATTGTAAATAAATATGAACAAGCAAAAGCATCGATGCATTATGTAAACGTTCACTAATCATTTTCATTTCATCATCTAAATTCTTGCGAAAGTTGAGTTTTTTTTGTAAATTAAACAAAAAAATAAACTAACTAAGAAATCGAAGAAAATAAGATATAAACATATGTGGAGTATATTGTGGAAATATATGATCTATTGTTGTTAATATATGAATTTCAATTTCGCTTAATTGATCACGATTTAATTTTGTTATTGTTGTCATATTTGGATCCATTCGTGCAAGTTCATGAAAATATTCAATTAAACGAGGAGTATCAATTGGTCGATCCTAAATATAATCTTGTCTTTAAATGAATATATACTTATTTATTAATCTCAATATTGTCATATATTTTTCAATATTCAATTATAGAAGAATGAAAGATTATCATTAGTTTGAACTCGATAGCCTTTTTCGGATCTCTAGATATAAGAATAAGATGTCCAATGTAGGCATAGATAATACACAATAGAAATTAAAATCCATCTTAATGAGTCGAATTCTTATTAGTAAAAAATTGAAATCAGAAACACTGTAGCAGAAATCTATTAACGAGAAAATCTGTTAGCGTAATCTTTATGGTAATAAAATGTGAAACACGATTTAGCTGCTTCTTGCTAATCACAGAGAACTTGTTCTATTTGTTCATATTGTAGCGAATTTCTTCATTATTCTTGCACTTAACGTTGAGATATGTAATAATGACAGTGACAGACAAAAATTTAGAGTAGTTGTATGTTTAAGTTTCGTTCTCGATGGAAATAGCTAATAAGAATCTAAAAAAGACATTTGTGTAGCTGAAAGAATCTTGTATTAGAATTGTTAAGCCTAAAGACTTCCAAAAGCAGCTTGCTGACTTCTTTTTGAAGCTTTTGAAAAAAGATTTTATTTGATAGAGCAAAATAAATATGTCTTCGATCTATACATGATCCTTTTTTATTGAGCTGTATTCAAATTACAGAAGGTCCCAAAGTTTCAAACATTGAAATATTCAATAAAAAGAAGAGAGGAATGATTCTTGAGCTTCCTGTAAATTAAATATAGTTCAATGAAGAAAGATCATGAAGCGCTCGAAGACGTCTCATATTACTTCGGATCATTTATTCTATCAAATAAAATCTTTCGTCAAAACCATTGAATAGAAGTCAGAAAGTTGTTTTTAGAACTCGTGATTTTTCGTAGACCCTCAACTAACCACTTTTGTTGGAACCTTCCAGCTTACCAATCCTAATAGGAAACCTTTTCAGCTATACAAATGTTTTTTTTTAGATTCTTTCTCGTTGAATATTCTGATAACTGTGAAATTTTCTGAAAGATTTGAAATTAAAACAAAAAAAAAAACATATCAAATCAGAAACAAAAAGAAGTGACATACACAGATTTGTGTTGAAAGTTGAAAACAACCAGTAGCAATAATGTATTTCTCTCGAAGATATTTTTCTTTGATTAATTCATATTGATTTCTTAGACTGTTTGGATCTTTATTAATTGAACTACACGCTTTTATCATTGAACAGATTAAATATCTTTAAAAAAAATTTTTCTAGTAAGAAAACAAGTTTATAATAATAATAAAAAAATCTTCAATACTTATTTAATAATTCAACAGAAGTGAAAAAAACTCGATCATCAAATTCAACTTGATATGTTAACATATAGAAAAATGAAGCCATTGTTTTATTACAAAACTAAATAGACAACAACAATAAATTTTGATAAATAATATATTTAAAAGACTTTTACCGAAAGTAATCGACGACAATTAAGTTTATAGTCATTTTTACAATTAGCAATAAATAATTTCAAATATTCACATTCAACCATTTCTAAAATAAAATTACGAAGAATATTTGATAGAGAAGAAAGCTCCAATGATGAAATTTCGTGGTTTTTTTTTAGGAAAATAATATATCTTGATCATTAATGCAAAATGTCAAATAAAAATCGATTCTAGTGACAA